TCACAGTCACATCTACATCCCTCACAAAAATGCTATTTAAAATTCTAAACCATATCTAATCTTGAAAAATAGAAACAAAGAACATGATAAAAAAAATAAAGAATTCATGACATTTACATAATGCAAACTTTGTCAGCTAGATTTACAATCATTTATGCTAAATATATAACTCATGATTGATGAGATGCGCGTAATTTATCAACCCTCACGACTCTGCAATTGTTTACCGTTTTCTACTTGTACATTAATGACCCAGATCTTGACATTGCAATAAAACAAAATATATTTAAGAGAGAGGGAGAACGTGATGGAAGAGATGAGAAACGAGAGACTGCTTGTGGCTACTACTTTTCGGTTTGATATGTGGCTAGGATTTCAGAGAGATGAGAAGCAGAGAATATATATATAAGTGTTGGTTGAATCAATTTGGTTTGGTTAGTTTTGGACTTTTAAGATGGAAAAGGAATCAAACTGAATTTTTTAAGGATTTTTTAATTAGTTTATTTAGTTTTTTATTTCAATTAAGTTTTTTTATGAATATTTTTTTTATTTTGTGGGTTTTTTTTTTCGTCTTTTGAAGACTTGGACCCAACTCTCCGTTTTTCTGCAAAATAAGACAGTTGAGTTGAAAATCATGGGATTTTATATTCAAGCACTTGTAAAGAGAGGGGAATACTTGTGGAGAATGGTTAGCTATGTTGCAAGCTGATTTGGAGCGTGGCAAGATCCTTTAGGTGGCTTGGGCCTTTGGGCTTGAAAGAGATACTTGGACTCAATAAATGAATTTCTTAACTCCCCCCCTCAATTCCAGACTCTGGCTTCCAACAACCCACGCAATCACTGAGCTAATTTCATTGGTATAGTCCAATCACTGAGCTAATTTCCTCTAACTAGGATGCAAGCCGATTAAGTGGTTTATACAGTAGTTGGCATATGAAAAGATGCCAAGGCAATGTCCACAATTTGTCACGGGGACAGGCCCAAACAATGTAATAGATAACTTCGTTGTCTGTTTTTAGGCCTATAGTTTTGAAATTCAACTTAGAGTTCGACTTAAAATCTGAAGTTAAAATTAGGTTGAATTTAAAAAAATAGAGAAAGAAAAAACTTAAGATAACCCAACAAGACCCGGTTAAAAACTCGGTTGTAACTCATTGATATTTTTTACTAAAATGACATCATTTTAATATTAAAAAAAAAAGAATTGACCCAGGTGATCCAGTGACCTGGTTAAAACCCGGAACACGGACCTTGAACCAAGCTAAATTTAATGCTCAAATAATATAATGGACAACTTGGTCATTTGCTATTTGTTATCGAGTCAAACCAAGATAAGATGTCGGGGTATGACTTGGTTCTATACCTTCTATTATTATTTTAAAAATCTCTTAAAGGAAATATTCCATGAGAAATTGAATTTTAACCAAGGATGGAAAAGAAAATGTATCATCATTAAATATACTAGATCTATTTTACTATCTGATAACATGAGAAGTGGATGAACTTTGTATTGTGAAAAGTTTTAAAAGGAGATTACAATGTGGTGCCCTTACTAGTATAGAAAGGCTACTATATAATCAATTATAGTGTAGCCTTGATTGATATAACCTTGTATTTTTAGAATAGGGATACTTCTTGGAGTGAAATAAATGGGGTTCTTGGAGTGAAATAAATGGGATATGAAGAAATTTTTGTTCTTGTTTGCTTTTTCATCACCATATGATGATTGATATATTGTTTTGTCTTTATAATCACAAGTGTCTACAATTCTATCGAAAAGGAGAAAATAGAAAATGAGATAGAAGAAAAGTAGACTAAAGAAGAGATAAAAAAAATCTTTTAAATAGAAGATGGGGAAAAGAGAATTAGGATTTGTAGTTGTTATGCTAGCTACTCTCCATGTCAATATTTCATTTTCATTCATAAATTTTACATATTAATTTATAAACAAATACCTAGATTTACCTTTTCAAGTTTCAAATTTTATGATATAAGGTCCTTTCTTTATTATTATCAATACAATTATTTTTATTGATTAATTCTTTAATTGTTAAGATTTTCTAGGTTTTAAAAATTTTAAATGAGTTTAATCTATAGTATAGTGAAAGCAAGTAAAAGTTTTGATCCGATTATAGAATTAGACCGAAGTTTTACTAAATTGTTCTAAAAGCTAATTATATAGTGTAGCTGGCTTGCCAACTATTTTCCATTTAAAGTCCAAACTAGGCCTATAAGATATTGTTTCAAAATCTTCTTTATTTTCCTTATTGTATTTGGATTGTTTTTCTATTTAGATTAGAACTTTCAATTTAATTATAATTTTACTAATTAAAATATTTTTTCTTGTATTTATACAATCTTATAGACTATTTTCCAGAAGAAAATTTCTAAAATATAACATAGTAGTTTTCTCTATAGTTAAGGAGTTTAACCTTATGCTTAATAACTCTATATTCTTTCTCCATTATAGATTAGTAAACTAAAAAATTCTTAAAGAAACTATATATTCATTATCATAACTCTTTTTTTCCTCTTTTTTCAATCACTTTTACTTTATTATTTTGTTTTCAAATAGAAAAAAATGCAAAAAATATAAAAATGTCCAAGAAAAATGCTTCTCAGTGCAATTCATCCAATTTGTAGTCATTGCATGATTTTTACCTTTTTCATTTATCATTTTCTTATTAGTGAGTTTTTAAAGGTTGGAATATAAAAAAACAAAAACAAAAAGAGTGGAAGAAAAAATGGTGACATTTTTCTCTTTTTCTTTCTTTTATCCATAACAAAAACAAATTTTTTTCGTTCCTTCATGTGTGTTTTCTCATTAGAACAAGCAAAAACTTAAACTTTTTCTCATTCTCTCTACTATTATAGGACTAATTGTAGCCATAAATCCATCCTTAACGCTCACACGACCTTTTGCAAATCAAGCCAAAATACATTTGTAGTATTTAATTTTAATTTTTAATTTAATAAAAAAATTTAGAAACCCTTCCAATATCACCGATGACTTTTTAATCCGTCGATGATGTCGTCTGTAATATTTAATTTAAAATTTTAATTTAGTCAAAAAAATTTAAAAACCCTCAAATATCACGATAACTTTTCAATTCATTGGTGATTTTGTTTATAAAAAACAATAATTAACAATGTAGTTGACAAGTGAACAATTCTAGAGCTATCTGGAAAATACTAACATAATTAATTTATCGATAATCTTGTATGTAATTGACAATATAAATAATCTAATTGAGAATTGAACAGTTTTAGAACTCTTTGAAATATATTGAAGGAATTAATTTATTGATAATATGTTCTGTAATTAATATAATAAATAGTACCAGGAAAAAGATAATAGTTTACTAACAGGTTTACAAATGGATTTTACCAACGATATTAATTTATTAATAATATTTTTTGTATAAATAACATGTCATTATATTTTTTAATTTAATTTTAATTTTTTTATTATAGTTCTCTCGGTATATATCAAGAGAATATTTTTATCAATATTTACTAATAAATATAGTAAAAAAATATTTTATTAATAAAATTCACTTCAATCTACCTTGGACCCGATAATAATGTCTTAGCTTCCTCTCTCCATTCCAGGCTCTAACTTCTAACATCCCTAGGAGTCAGTTAGCTAATTTATTGGTTAAAGACTTTAAGGTCAGGTTAGTAGATACAATAAAATGACCGATTATGATAATCTATGTAATATTTAAATTATGAAAATTCTCATTTTTAGAGTGATTATTGAACTCTTATTTTTAATTAAAATTTTATGTCAACATAGAAAAAAAAATTAAGAAGATACTTTTTATATTTTATTTTTTCCAAATAATTATTCTTCTCGAAAAAAATTGTCTTGTTTCAACTAATCAATGTGTTGTTTCACATAGTTATCATTTATATGCAATTAAAATTTTATGTAAAGAAAACAAGGAGATACTTTTTTGTATTTTTTTTAATGAAATCATATAGTAATGAATTACATTCAATTTAAGACTCATATCAAAATAAAAGTAAAAATAAAGAGACGTTTTTTTTTTTCTTGAACCATTGTGCTCTTCAGAAAAATTATGTTATTTTATCTTAATGAAAGTGTTGCTTTCACATGTTTAATTAAAAAGCCCAGTCAACACAAAAATAAAATTAATTGAGAAGACACTTTTAACTTTTATTTTTCTAAATCATTGTGCTTCTAGCTCGTAAAGGTTGTGTTGTTTAATCTTAATCAATGTGTAAATGCATCAAGTAATCGGTTATATTTAATAAGAACATCACTAAAAAAAAAAGAATTAAGGAGACACGTTTTACATTTTTTTTTTCCTGAATCATTAAGGAGATCTTGTTTCATCTTAATTAATATGTTGTTTTATATAGTAATTACTCATGTTTAATTATATTGTCGTTGTTAAAATAAAAATAAAATGTAGGAGATGTCTTTTCTTTTTCTTGAACCATTGTGCTTCTTTAAAAGATTATTTCGTTTCATCTTAATCGATTTTTTTATTTCACAAGTATGTATTATTAATTAGATTGAATAATTCATTAACAATTGTAACCAATATGTTGTTTCACCAATATAATTGGATTAAAGAGTAAAGCAATTGGTAGAAATAGAAATATCCTCAATCAAAGACTTCATGATTTTGAAAATGGAAAAAATTGAAAAGTAATAAAATTAAAATCAAGAAAAAAATTACTTAATTAATTTTTCTAAATATTAAAAGCAGTATACATATCTTGCGTACACAACAAAGACACACATCTAGTTTACATAGAAAAAGAAAAAAGAAAACAACCCCAATTACATTTTATAAATCAACTTCGCGATTAACACCATTTTATCACATAAATGGAGCAACTGGTGTATTTATTTAGGATGACGATTTATTACATAAAAAAGAAAGAAAGAAAGAAACCATAACATGAGTAGAAGCAGACAGAGACCAGCTGCACGACGGTCATCTCCTCACAAGAGCTAGGAGTAAGTAACTATTTGTTCGTTCATAGCCTAAGTTGTTCAAGGCATGATTGAACTTCAATCTCGTGATGGCCATTAGCCTCCAAGGATTCCTTGTACGTCATCCCTCGGTAGCCCAATGGGTGAAAATGATCAACAAACTTTGTCGCCGGAATCACAAGGGTGTCTAGAGATGGTCCATGAAGTGTAGCCAGAGAGATTCTTCTAACCTTGTTGTTGTCCACCACTACCTGGTGAATATGACTCTTATACTTGCCATTGGTTAGAATCTGTAAGAACACAGCATTTACGGCCACTCATGAGAAAATTAGATTAGGGATAGAGTGATTTTGAATGCTTGAATTTATTTGATTTTCATAATAAAGTGAGTGTCTGATTTTTAATCTTGCTCAAATAGTTATGTTGAGTCTTTTTATCTTGTATAATAAAGTGTCTAAGTGGATGTCTATTAATTAAAATATTTATGTGTTCATTAAAATATCAAGAACATTTAATAAATAAGGATATGAAATTATGAGAAATATTTTTTGCTTTCAAACTTTAATGTTTTCCCCTATAAAAATAAAATATAAAATAACTCAATTTCTTTTATTTGACCAATTCAATAATATTGACCTCTTTTTATTTATTATAATTGTCTTTTTTCTAAAACAGTTTTGGTACAAACATATATAAATAGGTGTAAAATGATTGACAGATACAAATGTATCTAAAACCAGATACTCATTTAAACAAAATAAAAAATCAGACATCCGATTATGAACATCAAATAACTTTCACGCACTCAAAATCATGTTATATTTAGATTTTAATTGATTGAACATGTATAATTTTGGGGAATATATTTTTTCTAAAAAAATGATGTTATTTATTTTTTCTTATCAGGATTTATAAATTTCTAAACTTTCTAAGAAAATTCTCAGATCCCAGTCAATAGCATCCCCTTAAAAATTCTAATTATACAAGTTTACGCGGCTATTAAAAGTATTTATGCAATAAAAACATAAGATAATGAAAAAAAAATTAGTCTTTAATATATATTGATGAGTTTATAATACAAGTTTCAATTATATACGATTTTTTTTTTATCCTGCCGCAGATATTTGCTTAAAACAAACGAAGTACTAGCTAGATATATGTGTGATTTTGGTAGTGATGGAATAAAAATTTAGAGATGGAGGGGAGAAAAATTTAGAGATGGAGGGGAGATGGCGCTATATCCCCATCCTATAGCACAAAATCTATTGAACTTCCTCGGTAGTGGATCAAGATAATAATTAATGATCTTTAGGTTATATCGCGACTAGTTATTAAGAGGGGAAAAAGATTGCGTCGCAGAGGACTTCAGTTACCTCCAGATGATCTCCGATTTGAATTAGGAAGGCATTACGAGGTATAAATACGTTGATCCACTTCCCTTTGTGCGATAACACTCGGAGACCGCCATTCACATCTTGTACTAGAGAAACAAAGAAGCCAGGGTCGGTATGCGAAGGCACTCCAATAGAACCCTTTGACTGGAAATTGGGTGGATAGACATTCATGGCAGATACATCAAATCCTGACTTCAGATTGAAGAACTTCTCGATGTACAACTCTTCAAATCCCAAGATCTTGGATATCGCCCTCGCCAAACCAATTTTAACATCTTGAAATCTCTTGATGTACTCTTCTAGGGCCTCACTGTAATTTATTAACAGAAAATTAAGGGCCTAGCGTTAGGGCACGTATAGATAGAGTCCTGAGAGCAAGACGCATGCAAAATTGCATGTTTTGTGCTTAATTTTCATTTCTTAAAGAAAAGGCCACTGGTCTGTCTGTACCTGAGGCTAGCTGGTTTAGCAGGGCAATGGAATTGGGGATGCGCTACCACCTTGAGATATTCCCTATTTTCCCCAGCATGGGAATTTAAACCCCACATGATCCTATCTGTTGGGTTATTTTTCACGCACTCCTTCCTCTCCTCCTCCTTCGTCACTTCAAAGAAATCAGCAATTCCCTCCAGTGCACCTTCAATCACACTATCGGGTACGCCATGATTTACCAGCTGCAAAGATCACTAAATCTTAATCGATAACCATGCATGACACGTTTTTATATGTAGATATTATAACTATTTGTCAAAAAGATGACATGGTAACTATGATGCATGTACAGTCACTGCACATCGTATTGTTAATTTGCGAGGCATTAACGTATATAATTAATGAAGAACAGAAGTTGTTTCATGATAGAAAAGCATAAGTTAGATCAGGGCCATAATTTTACGTAGAAAAAGTTTCTAGTTCGTGGATTAATTATTGTCACACACGTACATATAATATTGGAGCTCTTTTTCACTCCTTAATTTTGTCGATTATTACAATTGATCGAGAAAATAGAGTTTTGAGGGTACATACATAGAAGAATCCGTACTCGTTACATGCGTTGCTTAGATTGTCGAGGGCCTTGGATTGTTGGATGGGATCATCGGAGAAAAGCATGAGGAAGTCGATGGTTGGGATTTCTTCATCGACTGCCAAAACAGAGTCCATCGGAATGATGTTGGAGAAGGGGACAGAGGTGATGTTGGTGTGTTCACAGGTCTCTTGGGTATGCACTGGAGATGTTTGAGCCATATGATTCTGAATATGTGTGTTTGTGGAGAGAGTGGTATGCCAACTACGGATTAAATAAAGCAAGGAAGGCCTAGTCTGTTTATCATGTGCATGGATAACAACTTCCACATTTATAGACGGCCTTGTAAAGCCACTTGAATTAATATATAATAAACAAAAAGATAACATAGCTACCTAATTAAATTAATAAACTACATCCTTCGAAAAATTATCTGTATAACTAGAACAACCGAGGTTTTTCCCAGCTACTCAGTGAAGGAGCTGCCCCTTTTATCTTTCCTTTTCTTTTCCCTATTTTTAGAAAAAAAATTATTTTAATTTAATTCTTTTTATAGGCCAATTAGACGAGACTAAGTTTGAAATTGATTATGGTAAAAAATAAAATTAAAAGATAAAAAACTAAAATATAAAATACAAAGAGAATATATTATTAATCATAAATTCATGATAATTTTTATTTTGATCCAAAAATTAATTTTTTTTATTTTTTGCTTTCAGAGTTTGTGATAAAAGAGGGAATCGCCAAAAAATAATAAAGTAAGAGAAAGTTATTATTTTTCCTATTACAGTAATCAAAATGATAAAATTTAATGTTAAATAATTTCATTCATCTTGCAAAAAGAGTTCTATTAAATTTAGATTTTTTAGATTTAGTTTATTTTTATGTTTTTGAATGATTTTGGGGTGTTTTAGAGTTGATGGGTGACTTATAAAAGTTTTTACAGTGTTTTTAATTATTTAATTTTCATGTAAAAATAATTTTAAAATTAGATTTATACTATTAATTTTTCAACTAATAATTATTGCTCCTTGTATGACATGCATGGAGATAGTTTCTTATTCCATTTGGCCAGACCAACTCTGGCTGGTTCCTAGATCAATGTGACTCGATTTGGTCGAATTTTTCCAATGCGTGAATAAATTTTATCCAAGGAATTGACGGTTGCTTTTAATCTAATTTAAGACTACAAAAGTTCTGTTGACATTATAATTAAATAGTTTCATGAGCAAATACGGCTATGCCGTCGTTAGGTGAAGATAATTGATTAGAACTTTCCTTCTTGCTTCTTAGATTTTGCTTCCTTTTGTTTATTACTATTTACAATAAGTTTTTATAGATGTTTCAACGACCGTAAAACAGGAGTTAATGTGTTGAGTCTTTTAAAATTGTTGCCGGTGAAAGGATGCTGCACCTGGTCCATGTATGGCAGCCTTCACTATATTGGTCTTCGTCTCTTTGATATTAAAATGGAAGGTAACGAGGATTTTATATTATGTCAACATGATGTTGGAGCCATAGATTCTGAATTAGATGTTGCTCGTGGTATGTTACAGGATTGTATAATTTATTGTTTATAAAAATAATATCTATACATCTCAAGTCCGTTTTAAAGTAAGAAAAAAAATAAAATTGATGCCACACATGTGCCATGTCATGATAATTATCCTTCTAAATCATGATAATAAAAAATAATAAAGGTGGAAAGGACAAAAAATTCTTGTCTTTTATCAATAAAAAAATAAATAAAAGTCATTACCTAGTATTTTAATCACAAAAAATCTAACTGATATCAGAATTCAGATAAGGATACTAATTGCGTAAATGATATGTATTAACACCCATAATATACCTTACCTAAAATAAATTGTATCATTTATTTATTTAATATAAATTAAGAAAATATTATGTTTTTTAACTGTTATTATGTTTAAAGTTGAAGAGAAGTCCTCCTTCCTCTTCTTCAATAAGAAGGTTTTTATTTTATTAGGTAAAAAACATAATCGTTCTAATGCCAATATAAAAAAAATAAACTATTATTTTATTTAATATCAGAAATTATCTTATGTATAAATTTATAATCTAAAAATTGTTTTTGGTATTTATGAAATGTAAGCCAAAATCCTTTGGGATTTTACAAACTTATTGTAAAATCCATTCAAAAATATTCTAGATTTTCAAATTAAATGGTCAAATTATTTTTTTAGGATTTTTGGCCATATGTAAGGAAAAAAAATAGTTTTTTTACTAGGTTGACCTAAAATTTTTGGTTTGACCATAAATCAACCCAAAAATCTTGGTTTGACCCAAAAACACCAAAAAACAAAACTAAAGTAAAAAAAAAGAGATTAAACACCTAAAAACACAAAAATTAAATTTTTTTTTAATGAAATGGATTAAACACCATAATAAATAAAGAACACCAAACATGAACCCGAATGAACCCTTCAACTTGAGTTTCAAATTTGAAAAAATTTAAAGAAATCAAAGGCACAAAAAGGTTACAAATCATTCAGGGATCAAGAATTAATGGTTCATTCACTTCGATTTTTATTAAATCATCATGATTTGGTCAAAATGAATTTCAGTTCAAAATCAAAACCCTAAAATTAAAGATCATTATAAACAAGTTATTGATGCAAATGGACACAAAGTTATTGATTATTCATTCTTAAAAAAAGATTTTGTATAAAGAAATGGTCTTTATAAGAACATGAATATATTTTATGTATAAGTTTATAATCTAAAAATTGTTTTTGAAAATTATGAAATGTAAGCCAAAATCCTTTAGGATTTGACAAATTTCTTGTAAAATCCATTCAAAAATATTCTAGATTTTTAAAATAAATGCTCAAATTATTTTTTTAGGATTTTTGGCCATATGAACGGAAAAAAAAAAAAAGAAATCATTTTTTTTACTAGGTTGACCTAAAACTTTTGGGCCAACCATAAACCAACCCAAAAATCTTGGGTTGACCTAAAAACACCCAAAGAAACAAAACTGAAGTAAAAAACAGATTAAACACCTAAAACATAAAAATTTAAAAATTCTTGAATAAAATGAATTAAACACCAAAACAAATGAAGAACATAAAAAACACCAAACATGAACCCGAATGAACCCTTCAACATGGGTTCCAAATTAGATCAAATTTAAAGAAATCAAAAGCACAAAAAAGTTACAAGTCATTTAGGGATCAAGAATTAATGGTTCATTCACTTCAATTTTTATTAAATCATCATGATTTGGTCAAAATAAATTTCAATAAAACCAAAACCCTAGGAATAAAATGATCATTATAAACAAGTTATTGATGTAAATGCACACTGGGTTATTGGTTATTCATGTATAAAAAATAATTTTGTGCAAAGAAATGATCTTTCTAGGAACACAAAGAAGATACCCAAAAAGCTCGAAATTTTTCTAGCAAAGGTAGCATTTTTCAAGCCCAAACTATGACTTTTTTGCTTTTAAGGTATGTCATGTTTATTCTAACAAGTCATTGTATCATATATAAATATGTTTGAATCTAAAAATTAACAAAAAAAAACCGAACAACCAAAATGAAACATAAGATACCAAAATTAAAATAGTATACATATTCATGCAACATGAATTCAAAATTGATTTTCTAAACATATTTTTGTGCATGAATAAGCTCAACATGCTAAGGATAAACACCCTTGCATTAACATGCAAAACTTAAACCAAACCAAAGCTTTAAACAACACACACACACACACACACACACACACACACACACACATATAGCTTACACAAACACACACACACACACACACACACACACACACATAAAGCTTAAACAAAAGCTTTAATACATTAAAATCATAAAAAAAATTAAATAATTGTATTAGACAAAAATAAATGCAAAAAAGAGGTGAATATGAAATTTCGTGTTAAGCATTCAAACCTCTTTTTATGCTTCTAAATATAAACATAAACAAAAAATAAAAAAAAAACAACAAAATCAAGCAACAAATAACCTACTTTAAGGTTTGCAATGTATACCAAGAATAAATTATTCTCTTTTGGCTTTTTTTTGAAAAGTTTTGCCTATCACAAGCTTATAAAGCTTAAGAAAAACTTGGTTTTATACTTTTAAACCTCTAACCATATATTTCTTATTGTTATTACTCTCTATTTTTTTCTCTTTTATGTTTTTTCTACCCCGTTGAACATGTTTGAGATGGGGTGTTTATAGGGTTTTGGAAGGTCTTGTATCTATTTTGACCTGTTGATCTTGATAGAAATGTTGTGAAGCCTTAATAAGGACCTAATGTGGAGCCTTTGTGTGTGAACACAAGAAACCCAAATTGATTTTTGCAAGATAGTTGTACTATCAGGGATAACTAAGTTGCACACTTTTAAAACTTTGTTAGAATAATTATGACGACATCATTGCCTGAGACCACCTGAAGCTGGTAGAGGAAATGCACTCCTTTTATTTGAATATAAACTTGCTCAATTTGGAGGTTAGTAGCTTCATATTAAGGTGTTTGAAATTGCCAACTCGATTAGCCAAAATTTTTAGGGCTGATTAGGTTGTCTACTTTCAGGACTTTATCTAAGAAATTATGATGTCATCGTTGCTTCAAACCACCTTAATTTGATGGAGAAGAAGCTCACATTTCATTTGAATCTAACTTCGCTTAATTTGAAGGTCGGTGTCTTTATATTATTCAGGCATTTGAAGTTGTCAACTCGATTAGCCAAAACTATTATGGCTAACTGGTTACCTACTTTCAAGGCTTTATTAGAGCAATTCTAATGTCATCATCATCTGAAACTACCTAAATTTGGTAGTAAGGATGCATACCAGTCATTTGAATCCAATTTTTCTCAATCTAGAGTCTGTAGCTCAATTTGTGTTTGAAGTTGTCAACCTTTTCAGTCCCAAGTCTTAAAATTGAGTGATGGCTTATTAGAAACAAGATGTCCGGGATTTCTATGAAAATATTCGAATGTAAAAGTCTAATTTCATGGTAATATAGTTGTAGAGGGGATGTTCCTCTTTCATTTTCAAAAGTCTAGAACTCCAGAATGACTTCTCAAAAGGTGTCAACCTGATCATTATAAACAGCTAAAGAAGAAAATGAACAAAAACTGAATGATGCATCATCTAAGTTAAAACTCTAAAAATTAAGGATTTTAATTTAGGATTTGGAAAATTATCAATTTAGTCATTATTCTTTCAACTATGGCATATGTCCCCTTAATTGACACAAAAACTTTTTAATTATGTGCAATTTAACTCCCGCCAAACT